AAATTTATTTATGATTTAATTTATTTATTTATTTATTAAATATATTTAAGTCACAGATCTATACAATTTGGCCACAAATTAACAATTTAATTAGTCACTTATTATTTTTTGGTCACAAATTAAAAATTTTATCTCAAAAAATATTTTCAAAAATTTTGTATGTCACAATTTGTTCATTGCAAAAAATCAATTAATCACGAGTTAATTTTTAGTCACGCTTATCAATTTATTGGTCACAACTTATTTCTTGGTCACAAATCAAAAATTTTATAGATCACATATTATTTTTCGATCACGAATAAAATTTTTTACAAGTCACATAATCGATCATGGAGTCAAAATTTTTATTGGTCACAACTCATTTATTCATTGAAAATTATTTGATTAATTGGTCATGACTAATTTTACGGTCACAACATAATCAATTGTGAGTCACGGTCACAATTTTCAACTAATTTATTGGTCACAAACACAGTACAACACCACCTTACGACCATTACTATCTCACCCACCCTAACTTACTTCGCCACCGTTGCTGCCATACCACATCGCCACCAACGACCACCACAAAACACAAAAATGCATAAATCGAGATAACACCACCTCGCCATCGCAACAAAATTGCTACCATCTCATCGTACCACCAAAACACAAACAATCAACACAAATCCAACAACCAAAAATAACCCCACCACCACTACCCACACTATTGCACCACCATCATCCCACCACCACCACCACCACCACCATTTGCAAAATCAGATCAATCCCCACCCAACAAATCAGAAACTCAACCCTGTTCGCTGAAATCTCACCTGACCACCACCATATACCTTTAACAAAATCGCTATCGGTCTCACAAGTCCACCAATATTCCTTACCCCGTCAGCAGCCACTCCTTTACAGATCTATCCACCTTCGTCCTCATCAACAATCCCATAGCCCAAAACCAGTTGCACGACGGCACTCATCGTTGCTCCTCACTGTATCTACTTCGTGCAATGCTCCTTGCTGTATCTACTCCTCTCTATTGTTAAAGACTATCGTTGTTTCGGGCAACACTCCTGCCCGCGCTATCGACAGTGGTCGCCCTCCGATGTCTCCGTTCAGATTCGTTCACAGAGGCGTAGTTGTTACTGGAGATGACACTCACTTCACTATGATGACTTCATCATCACAGTGTCGTTGGAGTGAGTGGTCAGTCGTCGGAGAAAAAATAAAAATGGGAAAAAGAGAGAGCGAATGATTGATTTGGGGATGAATTGATTTAATTAGTAATGTTTTACTACAATATTAAATCTTAGAGAAAAAATATAGAGACAGAAAAAATAAGTGAGAAAATTAGAATTTTCTGATTTTTGAATAGTAAAACTTTCCACCTGATTTTAGAATGTAGGATTTTTAATGTTAGCTATTTCCAATCAAAATATTTAAAGTCGATCTATAATTGGGTTCAGCAAGGTCTATTTTTGGGCCCATTATTGAAAGGAATACCGTCAGATCGCATTCAATTCAGGACCGAAAGTCGTGTTGGTGGGACACCTAATCTCCATATGTCGCATTCAATCTATTTTGGATTATCGAGTGATTCCTAAATTTAAAAGTGCATGGAATAAATATCCACATCATAGAACTTTATATGCGATTGTTTTTTTTTTTTTTTTCATTATTATTATTTTTTTCGTTTTTCACTTTTCTCGCCGATAAAGACTCTCGAAATTTCTTTCACAGTGGAATTAGGATTTCCACTAAGTCTCTTTCATTGTGATGCATGACACGATTGCTTGAGATTTTCATTTTGATGTACATCTTCAGGATTTAATAAGATACTAAAAATAAAATAATCATAAAATTTTGTACAGCTTGACATTTGACGCAACGTCAATCGAAAAAAGTAGAGTGAAAATTTAACCAAAC